TATAAAAATATATAAAACAAATATAATAACTTTCTTTAATATTATTTAATATTATATAACAAATTGCAAACATTATGTGTATGCAAAAAGCTAAAAATATCATTAAACTATATTTATATATAATATAAAAATATTATATATGTAATAAATATGTAAAAACAAATTTAAAAAATGCAAGAAATGCCAGTTAGAAATGTCATGAAACAATATAAAAATATACTTAATATTAATTATTGCTTAAAATATATTTTAAATATCCAAAAAATAATATATAGTATGTATATATATATAGCAAAAGCATATAGCAAAATAGCATTTAGCATATAGAAAAAACATTATTATTAAATAAATAATTGATGTTCAGTTCATGACCCATCAAGCCTGTCCCAACAAAACTAAGCTTCATTTGACCTCCAGTGGAAAAATTATTCTCACCATCATTTAAAAGAGCAAATAACCAAGATGCAAAAAAATTTAATTAAAAAGCAGATTTCAATACCTGTCAGCTGTGGCTGAAGAATCTTCTGTGCAGCATCTCACAAAACATTGTAAGACTGCAGAAGACAAGCGGCGCTATTTTAGGAGCTGCCGATGACGTGTGCGCTTATAAAAGCCATCGTCTGTTTCAACTACAAAGTCTATCAAAATTTAAAGTATTCCAGTGGGATAAAAACACAGGATGAAATATTAAAACTCAAATTTAGGGCGTCTTATTTGTAGTGAAGTGCTATGAAGCTGTAAGAACTGCAGTTTGACTTGCTGGCCATCAATGAAGACTTCAAGAACATCATGCTCACTTCATCTGATACTGTAAAAAATACCACCACTATCTACTGTAATTACAGAAACACCATATAATTAATCAGTCTGTGAAACATCACACACTAGGTGCCACTCTGTTCCTTTAGAGACGACTGGCTGCAATCCTGCAGATCTTCAGCTGTAACTCACATGTGAATATCTTCGGTTTTGAAATAACCCACAGTTATTCATGAGTTAGCAGTCAAAACACTGATAACACCAGTAAATAATAGTTTGATAATTATGCCAGAAAGACAGTATAACTCACTATGGAACTACCAACTTTATTCAGTCAGAACAAAACCAGTACAGTTGCTTCTGCTTATTTGAAATTGAAAACTCAGAACACTATAGAGACCACCTAGAAACCACTCAAAACGCCCTAGCAACCACTTAATCCAGAAAGAGTCTTTAGTGTGGATTTTTTGACCTGGACCAGTAAGCAACTACCTACTGTAGCAACCACTTGAAACACCTTTACAATCACTTAGCAACCACTCAGAACTAGAGGTCTCCATGGAGGACCCAAGACCTGAGGACCCGGGACCCGTACGGGTTCGGGTCTATATTTTAAATGGTCAGCTGGGTCTGGGTCGGGTCCCGGGTCTGTTTAACATTGTGTGTAATACCACGAGTCGATCGGAGAACACTGCACCCGCCAGTGATCAGTGACAGTCAGCACTTTGCATATGTTTTGTAACTTGCAACTTGTAAAATTAGGATGAGAAAAGTGTGAGCGGGAAATAAGGTAAAAAAATAAAAAACATGCGTGACCTCACTTCTTGTTCTGTACATTTTTTGCTATAAATAATAGCTCTGAGTCTTTATTACAACCAACAAAAAGTTTCTTTATTGTAGTTCAAAAGGGTAAACGCAACAGTCGAAGTTGACTCGAAATGCAAAAAACAAAAAAAATAAAAAATAATCTGCGAAGTATTAGTCATCCATCACTGACCGTGACAGCAAGTAGACTTTTAGTACTGCGCCGGCTATTTTAATTTTCGTTTAGGACTGTGGCTAATTGCACAAGAAAGGCACACGTGTCGTTCAGTTTTGAGTTCGCTGGAAAATCATACCGAGTAAGTGCACAGTATAGTAATTGTACTTTTATTATGCCTAGACTATATGGTAATATTATTTGTGGTTGATAGAATGCCAATAACAAAGAAACTACATTTTAACACTGTTTTCTCATGAAGTATGCATACTATACTAAGGTACTGTGGGAAAAAATGCTTACAATTGTTTATAAAAATTATTTTAGGACCGAATACACCACTCTTGCCTTCACTTGCATCTCTCACAGTGAGGGGACGCTCGTTCAGTTTTCAACTCCATTCAGAATCTTAGAGTAAGTGTGCATTCACTATTTTACAGATGTTACTTTCATTTGATTTATTTGCTGTATGGTTACGTGATGAAGGCATAGCTAGCTAGCAAACGGTAGGCTGTAGTAACCAATGCCAGTAGAAGGCAAGCCTGCAACCTTTAGCCAAAAAAGCGTAACTGCTAATGCTAACACTTCCAGTTTGCCAGTATGTGGGAAAGGAGACCAGAGGCCATTTTTTTTAATGGATGTCAATGGAGGAGAGGCTTCACTACATTGAATAAACAGCTTTTTAGAGGAAACAGCTTACCATTTAATGAATCGACAGCCTATCAGCTAATCTCCAACAAGTTTTACACTAAGCAATACTTTTGGATTGAACTATTTTTAGAGTTTACACCGAAAAAAAATGCTGCTTTATAAGACAACTCACTGACCTTTTGTACACAAAAAGTGTCTTAGAAAATTTAAATCAATATATTGTTTTCTGTGAGTGAGTGAGTAAGATGATTTTCACATAATTTTGAAGCAAAAACTCTAGACTTCAAGATCCAGTTCTCAAAAGTCTTGTGATCAAATGTTCTGTTTGTGTTTTATGGCCTTATTTCAGTGACTTTAAAATTTTAGTTTTTCACTAAGCACGCATAAACGTTGTTTTCTCAAAAACACAATCACGTACATACATGCTGCTCACATATTATTGTAGCCCAGTTTGTGCTGATTACAGTGTTATTAAACTTTAGACATTCAAATTTTTGTAAGCAACTGAAAAAAGCACAAATGTCAGGGCATGTCAAAACTTTTCCAGGCCCCAAAACACAAAAAGCCAAAAGCCAAAAAGTTATTTTTTTTGCAACTTGTTTATTGACTTGTTAATAGCAGTTTGCTGTGCAATGTGCTGATCGGTTCCGTGCAGCACATTTACGGGTCTCTTCGGGTTCGGGTATTTTTGGACCCGTGAAGACCCAATCAACCACTTAGCAACCACTCAGAACACCGTAGCAACCACCTAGCAACCACTTAATCCAGAAAGAGACCTTAGTGTGGTTTTTTTTGACTTGGACCAGTAATCAACGACCTAGCAACCACTCAAACACCGTAGCAACCATGCAAAACACCCTAGCAACCACTCAAAACACCCTAGCAACCATTCAGAACAACATAGCAACCACTTAATCCAGAAAGAGACTTTAGTGTGGTCTTTTTTGACTTGGACCAGTAATCAACGACCTAGCAACCACTCAAACACCGTAGCAACCATGCAAAACACCCTAGCAACCACTCAAAACACCCTAGCAACCATTCAGAACAACATAGCAACCACTTAATCCAGAAAGAGACTTTAGTGTGGTCTTTTTTGACTTGGACCAGTAATCAACGACCTAGCAACCACTCAAACACCCTAGCAACCATGCAAGACACTCTAGAAACCATTCAGAACACCATAGCAACCACTTAACCCAGAAATAGACTTTAGGGTGGGTTCTTTTGACTTGGACCAGTAAGCAACGACCTAGCAACCACTTATAACACCCTAGCAACCACTTATTTTAGAAAGATACTTTTAGGTGGGCTCTTTTGACTTGGACAATTAAGAAACTACATAGCAACCACCCAAAACACCCTAGCAACCACCTAGCATCCACTCAAAACAACCTAGTAACCACTCAGAAGACCCTAGCAACCGCTTAATCCAGAAAGAGGCTTTAGGGTGGATTTTTTTACTTGGACCAGTAATCAACCACCTAGCAACCACTCAGAACACTGTAGCAAACACTTTATCCAGAAAGAGACTTTTAGGTGGGCTCTTTTGACTTGGATCAGTAATCAACCACTCAGAACACCTTAGCAACCATTCAGTATACCCTAGTAACCACATACCAACGCCCTGGCAACCACATATAACACCATAGCATTGTGACAGCGGGTTTTACACCACTCACATTCTCTCAAAACATAAAAATCTACTTCTAACAATAACGTTTATCCAATAAAATCAGATTATGGCCCATTTTTACACTGTCAGTTGTTACAAATCGAACAAAAATGTTCAGTATTGCACTGCATTTCATCCAAAAAAGCTAGGCTAGGCTAACAGAAAATATCCATTCCAATCACGTCCTCCTGTTTGTAACTCAGATTCTATTAGGCTCTGCCCTTTCCAGCGATTCCTGTGGGTCAATAATGGGTTTAACTGATGTTCAGGGACAGATTTGCGGTGAGAGAGACACTTCATAACACTTTCAAGCAGTTTCGTAAGAACTACCAGAGGATTTGTGACAGACAGGAGGATATGAGCTTAGACAATTACCCAGAAACAGAACAGGCTTCTGTGGTTTAAAAATGGGTAAGTTTCTCCTGAAAGGCTCTGAGACCATATGCTCCTCTCTGATGCCATCAGCCCAGTACTGTCACCACGGTTTGTGGGCAATTGCTGTGATGGATGGATTGCGAGCGTTTCTTGAGATCTACCGCATCCAAAGCAGTCCCAGAAAGCATCTCTTAAACAATGCACAAAGAGAAACGTCTGCTCTTCTCATCAACCGCAATAAGGAACTGAAAAAAATCCATAGAGGGAGAAACATCTACTGAATAATTGCTGTGTTGAGTGGAGGATGATGGGACAGCCATCAGCCGTTACATAAGCCAGATACGTTTGTAGGTCTAGTACAAATCAATCAGTCTCACTGAACTGTAATTATATCATCAGTTACACAACACAGGATTTGGGTCAGAATTATTAGCAAAACTACACTTTTTTTCCCCATAAAAATCCATCTGAGCGCAGATGAATTATTTATAGCTTCCATCTTGAAAGTCACATAAAAATGTTTACAGCCACGTTTGATGGGGTTTAGAGTAAAATGCTCACCTGTAACAGTGTCTAAATCAGGATGAAGACAATCCCAGCACCATATGAAAGAAAATAGAAAAAATGAAGATTAGAAATAATTTGACATGTTATACTGGGATAAAAATATGCATAACTTTACTTCCAGAATAAAGTGCTTTGAATTCATAAGGTTGTTTTTAACTATGCTTAGTGCAAACTCAGTATTTCCCATTAATTGCCTACAGTAGACTGAAAAATTAATAACCTAAAAATATTTTTGTACTTCACAAAATAACAAAAATCTCTTTCATCGAGTTTTGCAGCATTGCTCTTGAAAAGCATCTGTCAAGGGAACTAAAATTGCACAAGGATGTAATTTATTTGAAGTATACAGTATAGTCTGTTTTGCAGGGTTGTTTTCTTTAATTAAATCTAAAACAAACATTTTTGCTAATTGAAATAAACCTGAAATAAATTAAAATATTAATTTAGATGAAAAAAAAACTTTAAGCAAAAATCACCTGAAATAAGTTTATGTAGAAGCACTAAAAACGGAAAAAAAACCTAAATTAAAAAGGTAGACTAAAACTGAAATAAAAATAAATTAAACCTGAATGTAGTATATAAAATAATGATAATAATAATAATGAAAATTACATAACAAAAAAGGTACATAATAAAATTACTAAAAATTGTATTAAAATTTAAATAAAAGCTAGCTATAACAGTATATAAATAGTACTAAAATAACTGCTGTCTGTAATAATAATAATAATAACAATAATAATAAATTATAATTAAAGACATTCAATTATAGAATTAAAATTAATTGAAAATAATTAATTAAAAATCATAGTATATAAATAGTACTAAAATAGCACTTGACGTCAATAATAATAATAATAACAATAATAATAAATTATAATTCAAGATAATAAATTATAGAATTAAAATGTATGTAAAATAATTAATTAAAAAGCATTATAGAATATATAAATTATTAGAAATATCTGCTTTGCAGCAAAGTCTGAGTTTAGGTGTCCATGGAATCATGATACAGGAGCAAATATGTTGTAGATATCTGTCTATAAATCTTTTTACAGAAAGGTGACGAACTAGGTGTCAGAAGCTGTCAGAAAACACAAGCCGAGCTGTCAGAGCACTTGCTGAAAATCTTCTAAAGCACTTCAGCGAGCTCTATTTTCTGTTCTCCCAAAATATATCCACTTCCCGTCTGCCCAACATCATTAATAACAGGAACATTCGAGGACAGAAGCTCTTTTCTACCCCTGCCAGAAGAACAGGAGTACAAACACCGAAGGAAACTGAAAAGGTATCTTTAAATAACTCTGGGCTAAAGTCCACATTCTGTCTTCCTTTTAATGTTTCGAAAATGGAGAGAACACATGATGAAGTTAGGAATACGATGCAGGCCAGACTCGAACTTGAATCGCGGCATGAGCACCACAGCTTTTATCTTGATGTTTTCTTCTAATTGAACCTAGTTTTGCAAAGTTTGATTGCAGTGCTTAGAATTAGAGTTAGTCTTTTAGTAACTGGACTAGTCCAATTAAAGCATGAACAATCCTCCGTCACTAACTCCAGAGTGAAGAATGCTGAACACTTTCTTTCTTCAGAGGATTAGCATCTTTAACATTATATTAAATAAATAAATATTTCTAAAATAATTAATAAATTTGTCAAATAAAAATGAAAAAAAAAAAAAAAAAATCACTCTTGGAGTCTGTTTTTCAAACTGAATCAGTGTGGGTTGACTCTGCCGCCAGCGCTCAGACAGAAATCAATAGCATACATGGAGAACACTGCTCACCTCAGCAGCCAGTTTCTTCATGTAGGGGTCAATCTCATCCAGTAGCTTGTAGCCCTGCTGATACAGCGAGTACTGCGCATGCATGAAGGATAACATCTGCACAAGACAGGACAGATACAGATGATGCAGAGTCCACAATAAACCTACACATTTACATACACCATCACTGACACTCACCGCATCTAAGATCTCAAATTTCTTTTTGGCTTGAAGGACGTTGATCTATATTTGGGAAAACAGATTTATATGAAACACTCTTATATGTGACCCTGGACCACAAAACACGGCTATATTTGTAGCAATAGCCAACAATACATTGTATGGGTCAAAATGATCCATATTTCTTTTATGCCAAAAATCATCAGGATGTTAAGTAAAGATCATGTTTCAAAAAGATATTTTGTAAATTTCCAACCGTAAATATATCAAAGCTTAATTTTTGATTAGTAATATGCATGGCTAAGAACTTCATTTGGACAACTTTAAAGGCGATTTTCTCAATATTTAGGTTTTTTTGCACTCTCAGATTCCAGATTTTCAAATAATTGTATCTCATCCAAATATTATCCTATCCTAACCAGCGTTGGGGAAAGTTACTTTTAAAAGTAATGCATTACAATATTGCGTTACTCCATAAAAAAGTAACTAATTAAGTTACTTAGTTACTTTTTATGGATAGTAATGCGTTACGTTACTTTTGCGTTACTTTTTAAATCTGGGCAGGGCTTGCTTGTTTGTTTTTAAAATAAAAAAGTTATATATTTGGCAAATATAAAAGCCTTTTCACACCAAAAGTGAAATGATTAAGCCTCAGGCTGAAGGGAAAGCACATTTACATCCGTACAGTAGAATGCAGAAAATGAAATTTCAACACACTTCAGCAATAAAAAAAGACACACAAATGTTTGTCTAGAGTAATTTGTGCTTATTAGTACGGTTGAACTGGATCATCGAAGGTCAGAAGCAAAGACATTGGTTAATAGAATGGGATTAAATACATAAAGCATATTTGTGTTGTTTAACATTTAATTATTGCAGGTTTGCGTCATATTCTGAGTTGCATTATTTTAATTCATTTTGAGGAATACTGAATCTGTGTTTTGTTTTTTTGTGAGTGAGATGAATTAATGCATATTCATATTTATTTTAGAACTACAGTAACATCTGATTTCTCTCAACATGGGGACAGGAGAGCCGTCAATCAATAAATTAGAAAAAAAAAGTAACTTGCGTTACTTATTTGAAAAAGTAACTCTTGTAAATTACAAAAATTATTTGTTACTTTACTAGTTACTTGAAAAAAGTAATCTGATTACGTAACTCACGTTACTTGTAATGCGTTACCCACAACACTGATCCTAACAGTCTGGAGATGGAGTGTTTATACGTTACCTGCAGCACATAGTCCAGTGCGAGATGTCGGAAGCACTTGCGGGTGAAGTTGAGGGTGCTGGTGGCTTCCTCCACCTCGTGGGCTTTGTTTCGAGGTGCCTGAGCGTTCTTCACCTGTGCGATCTCCAAATCTTCTCTCATCTTATCAAAGTGCTTCTTCGTGTCCTTGAATTTACGCACGTCACTGAAAGCACAGATGGACATTCATTATCTGAGTAGTCTAATGAATACAAAGCTGCTGATGTGGAGGCTTCAATGAAGGTTTTCGGAAAGAAATTTCCTTTTTGGTGAACTATTCCTATTCCAGCAGTTTCAGGGTGAGCATGAGAGGCAGTTGTGCTTATTTGAACAAAATATGTCTGAAATATTAATGTTGTCTGATATAATTGCACATGACCGATCAGGTGGAGCTAATAAAAGCTTCATATCGCAGCGGTCTTCCTGAAATGCCATTAGTTTTGCCATATAAATCTTCCGCCCATTGCATTATCAGTGATCACCTGTGATAAATGAATAGGAACCTGCTCTCAAGAATCCCATTATCCTCCACCAGGACACATTAATTATTAATGAGCTCCGAAAGTCAGATCATTATTTATAATCAGCCTGCGGGAAGCACAATAATGAAAAAAACCCTCCTCAGAGAGTGTGTGGTCGTGAACGCTTTCACATTTGCTGATGTATAAATAAAAACAGGCCACGGCAGGGCCACACTTCCACACCTCTGACCTTTCGGAGTGATATCAGCGACTTTAATTTTCATATTTTAATGCATGCACTTTTAATGGAGAGAAGAGCAGGTACTAAAAGTATGATTTCAATAAACTGCAGCATTTATGAACACATTTTTTTACATGCTAATAAACTTTTATTTGAGTAAGAACTTTAAATGTATAATATTAATGTAAAAAATGTATAGTATTACAATAAACACACAAACAAATAGTTGTACTGCTAAAATAAATTATTATTATTATTATCAGTGAGTTCAATTTTCATATTTTAATGCGTGTAGTTTTAATGCAGAGAAGAGCAGGTACTAAAAATATGATTTCAATAAACTGCAGCATGTCTGAACTCATTATTTTTTACAACTAAACATGCTAATAAGCTTTTATATTAGTAAGAACGTTAAATGTATAGTATTAATGCAAAAATGTGTATTACAATAAATACACATAAAAAATGTGTACTGTACAAAATATTAATATTATTATCAGCAAGTTTAATTTTCATATTTTAATGCATGCAATTTTAATGGCGAGAAGAGAAGGTACTAAAACTATGATTTCAATAAACTGCAGCATTTATGAACACATTTTGTTTACATGCTAATAAACTTTTATTTTAGTAAGAACTTTACATGTGTAATATTAAAGTAAAAAATAATCATATTACAATAAGTATACACACATGCACAAAGTTGTACTGTAAAATAATATAAATAATAATAATTATTATTATTATAATTATTATTATTACCATCATCAATATTATATTATTTAAATACTTCTAAAAAAATTTTTTTAAATAAATTATTGCAATAGTTGTTATTATTATTATTATTATTATTATTAGTCATGATGATATATATAATCACAATTCTATATCATATATAAGCAAAACTGAATATTGAGACTGAAAACTGAATAAAGGAAAATAAAAAAAATTAACATTTTAAATCACAATCAATTTTTATCAGAAAAAATGCAATAAGATTCCCAATATCAATAGTGATAAAATAGTGATAATATTGATACAATTCTGTTATGCTTTTCAACATGTAAAATAGAAGTTCCTTATCAGAGTAAGTAACACAGCAGTGTATAAATATAGTCCAGTAAACTCACTCTTTAACAAAGCTGTGCAACTGCTGCTTGACTGATCTCTGGGCTTGATCAAACAGGATCTGAAAAACACAAAATAAAAATAAACATGAATAAAAATGCCACTCTAGTTTGAACAAATGTCATCAGAGTATCTCTTTATCCGGTTTTATAAATGAATATGTGCAACAATAGACAAGCCTATTTCATAAGAAAACACAGCCAGCAATAGCTCATTTATTAGGAAATGTTTACCAGTCAACATCCTATATTAATCCAGGAACAACATTCTTACCAACAAATTACTGTTCTATGATTCAGAAGGTAAGGTTAGCACAGTATTTTAGACCAAACAGCCACAAAAAATGACTGATTACCCGGAGAAATAATGGGAAATTGGAATATTGCATGTACTGCTCCACTGTCAGCACTAGATGGCGCTCTGCATTTGTTTAATCTGAGCTGTATGGGATGTAAACCTGTGAGTACGACCTCCCAACACACACATCATCATCATCATCATCATCACAGCCCTCTGCCTCATTGAGATTCAGCCCAAGTCTCTGCACAAGGACTGAGCTGATCTCGTATGCCACGCTGCAGCGGCGGAGGAAAAACAGGTCACTCGGGCAGGGCATGAAGGAGGAGAAAGAGGAGATGGAGCAAAGGAAACAACAGAAAAACAAAGGGAGGTGATACAAGATACTTTGCTTCAGTCACATCCACATCAGCACAGAAGCCATAGTCTGACATCAAGACTGATGATCCCACAGCGCTGGACCTTCAGGGCTGATTTACAGACCGCACGAACACGCTTACTAAAGATTTGAAAGCATATTTTCATATTTGTGAAATATTCAGTATTTATTACTTTTGGGTTAAAAGGTCAAAGTATTTTTTCTATACAGACAGTCTCAAATTACTTGAATTAAATTGTTCACATCAATTTATTACTGAGGTATCAACTATTTCAAATAAAACTCTCCTAAATTACACACAAAAATAAAATGTGTCAATAAAACCATACAAGTGGGCAACTCTCACCAAGAACCAAAAACTAGGGCTTGGAAATATAATGTTAAAATCTGTTTATATATTTACATTTATATATTTTATATTTATATGATAAATATAAGAAAGATTGTTTCAATATGAAAGGCGTAGACTGAATTTAAATAAATTGACAATGTGTGTATGTGTATACACACACACACACACACACACACACACACACACACACACATAAAATTCATAAAGTGAACACCAAATATGTATTATTTAAATAATATAATTGATTATAAATAAGATTATAGATTTAGATATACTGCATGCATTTATTTTCACAACAAAAATTAAATACAACATAAATACATTTCTAAATGTATTGTTAAATAACGAAATTCAATATAAATAAATAAAATAAAAAAACTAATTCAATATAAATGAATAAAATAAAGTTAAGTAAAAAAGTTATACATGCATACACACATATAAAAAATAAAAAAATCCTAAGTTAACTGTGTATTATATATATTTAGAGAGAGAATGAATATAATTTTGAAAACAGAAATTAAATGAATAAATGTTCTTTGACAAAGTCTTGATTTTGTTTTGGGGGTGTACTAGAACAGGCTCTCATACTAGATTTTTCGAAAAACACATTATTTTTCGCCCCAGTCTGGCATCAACGGCTCGAATGGTTCCTGTATCAAATGTGTATAAAATATGTATAATACAGTGTGTGTTGTGATTGGTTAGCTGGGCCAGTGCGTGTTGTGATTGGTTAGCTGGGTCAGTGTGTGTTGTGATTGGTTAGCTGGGCCAGTGTGCCTTCTCGAGTGCAGCTCAACCAGGTCTCGTCCCATTCTTCCATATTTGTGATATCACAAATCCCGGAAAATATGCGTTGTAGTCCAAACGAGTCATTCGTTGTAGTTTTTGAAAAGTGACTTCTGTTAAATAAAATATCTCCTTTTGAAGTGGACTTTGAGCTTTGCAGATCTATTATGCTCAAACAGCAACATTACAGACTAACTAAAGTTGAAAAAGTGAAAAAGCATAATAGGACCCCTTTAATATAATTTATAAAATGTGCATTTGAATAATACATAAACAGAATATAAATAAAAAATGAATGCCGATGCTTTTGTGCTCTTCTGTGCCTCATGTCAAGGTTCGGCCTCCCCTACAGTTAGGCAAAACACAACACTCTGTTTTTCGAGACGCTCATCACTAAACAGAGCTCTAATAGATGTCAGTGACTTATCCTGCTTCCAAACAGTCTTTAAATGAAGCAGCAGGCTCTGGGAAACCAAGAACCCAACCGACCGCCCGTCTGTCGCAGCAAAGCCCGTCTCGTTCTTTGGCAGAAAGAGAGAGAAACACCCTGTGTGTGGTCCACCGACTGACATATTGTGGTTTAATACATTTCCAAGTGATAAGTGCGTATTTAATCTGAGCTCTGTATGAAATAACACATAATATATAAAAATATAAAGAAAAGAAAAAAAAAAACAAGAATGCAAAGCCCCTACATAAAATAACACATAGTTCATTTAATTTCATTTATTAATAACAAATATTTAACATCTTGATAACAGAAATTAATTCAATATAAATACATTTAATTAAATGTGTATTAAATGTTTAATAATAGTTATAATTTTATATACATGCGATTTTAATATGCATTTTTATTAAATATTTAAATATAATAATAATAATAATGTTATATATATATATATATAACATAATGGTTACACACGCACGTTACACAATTGATTTTTTTACAACATAAATTAAATTTATTCGATATAATAACATTAATTAAACAATTATGTCATATTTACGTAATATAATTAATAATAACATTAAAAAGTATATATTTGTATGTATGAATTTTGACAATATAAATTAAATACATTTTTATAATTATACTAAATAAATAAATTTGACCCATTTATTATTTAAATAAATAAAACATGTATTTTTAAATACAAAAATTCCATTTAATAACAACAGATCATTTAAATATAGAATACATTATTTATTAAATTATGAATAGATAATAATAATAATTACTTTTCTTATTAAAAGAAGGGGTATTTCATGCATAAATGGTGATAGGTTTGTGCTCGATTTTGTTTTCCTGCCTGTCTTGTATTGTTTTTCCGAACACATCTGTGTAAAAGTCAAGAGCGTGTGGCTATGCTGAATGATGTCCTGACTGGGCTTTACTGTCGCGTGTGCTCTTCCTGTGCTAAATTCCCCTGCATTTCCTGCTCTCTGCACACAACAGTATGAAGGGCTAACCAAAAGGTTAACTGTACCCACAATGCCAAAATGTCAAGTAGCCACACTGATATGCCAGTGGGTTAGTGACTTTTGTCTCTGCACGAGATTTCGGACAATCTGTAAGAACGTGAGATTCATCAAATACCTCCAACATGCAAAAGCCCCTCATTCACCCTACAATCCCTTCACCCGCTTTCCAGACAATTCCTATATTGTTGGGATAAAGACCTGAGGAAAGAGAACTTCCCAAACAACTCCTTAGACACCCCTCTTTCTTTCGAAGACCTTCCTCTTCACATACTATCACAGCATTTCACATCACTGTGATTCGTTTCCTATCTATCTCTCAATAAACATGTTGTCCTGAAATCAGGTAAATTCCATTCATTCTATTATCTCTGTTCCGATGCAGAAAAACATCGTTCCATTTAGGAACATAGAAATGCCTATATACAAAATTCACAAATATAATGTGTAAATAAATTCTGTGATAATGGCTGTCTAGTATAGACAAAAAATTTTTTAGTTCTATTTTAAATTAAGTGATAATAAAATTTTGGTAAGCTGGGCCAGTGTGTGCTGTGATTGGTAAGCTGGGCCAGTGTGTGCTGTGATTGGTAAGCTGGGCCAGTGTGTGCTGTGATTGGTAAGCTGGGCCAGTGTGTGCTGTGATTGGTAAGCTGGGCCAGTGTGTGCTGTGATTGGTAAGCTGGGCCAGTGTGTGTTGTGATTGGTAAGCTGGGCCAGTGCGTGTTGTGATTGGTAAGCTGGGCCAGTGTGTGTTGTGATTGGTAAGCTGGGCCAGTGCGTGTTGTGATTGGCAGCACTCTGCGCCTGGTCGGGAAATGTCATGTCCCTTACCATAGCCGCCTGTGAGCTTCAGTGTAAATATTGCTCAAAATCAAATCAATTTGAGCGTGATTTAAACCCGGATGATTGTAACCGCTCTAAGTTCGTCTGCCTTGGGAAAGCTAACGTGTCTCCGACATAGTGATAACACTCGTTGCCTTCTCGAGTGCAGCTCAACCAGGTCTCGTCCCATTCTTCCATATTTGTGATATCACAAATCCCGGAAAATATGCGTTGTAGTCCAAACGAGTCATTCGTTGTAGTTTTTGAAAAGTGACTTCTGTTAAATAAAATATCTCCTTTTGAAGTGGACTTTGAGCTTTGCAGATCTATTATGCTCAAACAGCAACATTACAGACTAACTAAAGTTGAAAAAGTGAAAAAGCATAATAGGACCCCTTTAATATAATTTATAAAATGTGCATTTGAATAATACATAAACAGAATATAAATAAAAAATGAATGCCGATGCTTTTGTGCTCTTCTGTGCCTCATGTCAAGGTTCGGCCTCCCCTACAGTTAGGCAAAACACAACACTCTGTTTTTCGAGACGCTCATCACTAAACAGAGCTCTAATAGATGTCAGTGACTTATCCTGCTTCCAAACAGTCTTTAAATGAAGCAGCAGGCTCTGGGAAACCAAGAACCCAACCGACCGCCCGTCTGTCGCAGCAAAGCCCGTCTCGTTCTTTGGCAGAAAGAGAGAGAAACACCCTGTGTGTGGTCCACCGACTGACATATTGTGGTTTAATACATTTCCAAGTGATAAGTGCGTATTTAATCTGAGCTCTGTATGAAATAACACATAATATATAAAAATATAAAGAAAAGAAAAAAAAAAACAAGAATGCAAAGCCCCTACATAAAATAACACATAGTTCATTTAATTTCATTTATTAATAACAAATATTTAACATCTTGATAACAGAAATTAATTCAATATAAATACATTTAATTAAATGTGTATTAAATGTTTAATAATAGTTATAATTTTATATACATGCGATTTTAATATGCATTTTTATTAAATATTTAAATATAATAATAATAATAATGTTATATATATATATATATAACATAATGGTTACACACGCACGTTACACAATTGATTTTTTTACAACATAAATTAAATTTATTCGATATAATAACATTAATTAAACAATTATGTCATATTTACGTAATATAATTAATAATAACATTAAAAAGTATATATTTGTATGTATGAATTTTGACAATATAAATTAAATACATTTTTATAATTATACTAAATAAATAAATTTGACCCATTTATTATTTAAATAAATAAAACATGTATTTTTAAATACAAAAATTCCATTTAATAACAACAGATCATTTAAATATAGAATACATTATTTATTAAATTATGAATAGATAATAATAATAATTACTTTTCTTATTAAAAGAAGGGGTATTTCATGCATAAATGGTGATAGGTTTGTGCTCGATTTTGTTTTCCTGCCTGTCTTGTATTGTTTTTCCGAACACATCTGTGTAAAAGTCAAGAGCGTGTGGCTATGCTGAATGATGTCCTGACTGGGCTTTACTGTCGCGTGTGCTCTTCCTGTGCTAAATTCCCCTGCATTTCCTGCTCTCTGCACACAACAGTATGAAGGGCTAACCAAAAGGTTAACTGTACCCACAATGCCAAAATGTCAAGTAGCCACACTGATATGCCAGTGGGTTAGTGACTTTTGTCTCTGCACGAGATTTCGGACAATCTGTAAGAACGTGAGATTCATCAAATACCTCCAACATGCAAAAGCCCCTCATTCACCCTACAATCCCTTCACCCGCTTTCCAGACAATTCCTATATTGTTGGGATAAAGACCTGAGGAAAGAGAACTTCCCAAACAACTCCTTAGACACCCCTCTTTCTTTCGAAGACCTTCCTCTTCACATACTATCACAGCATTTCACATCACTGTGATTCGTTTCCTATCTATCTCTCAATAAACATGTTGTCCTGAAATCAGGTAAATTCCATTCATTCTATTATCTCTGTTCCGATGCAGAAAAACATCGTTCCATTTAGGAACATAGAAATGCCTATATACAAAATTCACAAATATAATGTGTAAATAAATTCTGTGATAATGGCTGTCTAGTATAGACAAAAAATTTTTTAGTTCTATTTTAAATTAAGTGATAATAAAATTGATAAATGATAATTTTCCCCCAAATTACATTTTTGACAATAATACCAGATTTTTCCCCATAATTCAACATCCAACATTAATTTCTCAACAACAGCTCTTATTTTTTTTATTTTAGTTACCAAAATTGTGTAATCTATCATCTATCAATACTGTAGATCAAAAAAGTGTTTATATGAAAACAAAAAAGGAAAATAAAGCACTTAAAGTTAGAGTAAATTATTACTTTTATTCACATTTTAGAATAATAAAGTCATGAATTAACTATGAATTAGTTTAGTAAAATTTTAACTATACACATTCATATGCATTTTCATGTAAAACAATTTTATTTAAATATATATTTGCACAGAAATATTCAAGAACAATTTTATATTTATCCCAAAAAAAAAAATGTTTAAGCACAAGTCTATTCAAATAGAAAATGTTTTAAATGCATGAAAAACATGCAATCATTAATGCAAACATTTGGACACGCCTAATTGCATATATATATATATATATATATATATATATATATATATATATATATATATAATTTCAGTCTTCTTTGCTCATATTTACCAAGGGGACTAATAGTTCTGACCTTAACTGTGTTATAAATTGCATATATATATATATATATATATATATATATATATGCAATTTATAACACAGTTAAGGTCAGAACTATTAGTCCCCTTGGTAAATATGAGCAAAGAAGACTGAAATTATATATATATATATATATATAAAAAATGCAATATAATAAATTAAATAACTTTAAATTCCCAGTCCTCTGATGACCCTGCCCATTAACCTCGTTTGTGATATCATTTCTCCATGTGGCTCTGCTGGCCTCTCTAAAGACCCAGTGGTCGCTTCTCGAAAGAGCACATCAAACGGGCAGTGAGTTCACAGACTGACGGTCTGCGGTGCACAGGTCAGATTTAACACCTCAGTGAGAGCTGGAAAACAACACACTTATAGAATGAGCAGATGAGTGTTAGAAACTAACAATAGTCATGTCCCTCCCTAACACGTGCTGCTTAGAGCTTTCCAAAGGAAAACAAGACAGATAATTAGTCAGACTAATACATTATTACACATGAAAATTCAGCAAAACCCTCTTCCATCTATTTTTTTGTTGTTGTTCAGTAAAGCTATAAGGTTAATTGTTAAGTAGAATTTGTGGAATAATGGAATTATTGATGTTACATTATACATATACATATAATACACACACACTATAAACCTTTCTTCAGATCAGCACACTCATTTTGTGAAAAACAACCAAGCAATCTGAACACATTTAGACAGGAAGTAGTTAGTGCGACTAATTCATTAAAAATTAAGCATATTGCATATAATTCCCATATGTAATATAATGTATAATATAAATTAACTATTAATATTATAATTTATTTGTAATTAATAATAAACATTAGTTTTATACAAAACACATAATATTAGTATTATACATATACGAAATTGTATATACATAATACATACACGTAGTTGAGAACATATTTGTATTTAATTTTTAAATTGTATATAAATACATATATTAAATTGTATGTACAGTACATAAACTATACACACACACACACACACACACACACATACATACACACATAAATATTACACTATACATTAGTTTAGTTCTATTACTATATATATATATATATATATATAAATACATTATAATTTATATATATAATGATTATGTATAATATACTTTAAATATATTAATATTACAATATATTTTTACTATTTATTATCTACTTATAACTATTAAATATAACACAATACTTCAGTTTAGTTATATTACTTTATTTTAAATATATATATATATTTATACACACACACATAGAAATATTACACTATATCTTACATTAGTTCTATTACTTTATTTACATATATAATATACTAAATGTTAGTATTTGATCCCAAGGACATTTTTTTTTAGCTTTTGCACAATTCTGTTACTGTTTTGCGTCACCGCTTGATGTCAAATATAAAATGTAGGTCCTGAAGCAAAACCGCTGCTCTAGTTATCGTCTCTTATGACCAGAAAAGACATTCACAACAACAGACAGAGCATCATATATGATTTACACTCAACACGAGGATCATTCATGATTCACAGCCTCGCAGCACGTTAAATCATTCACACACATCACAACCAGGGCCCCTTCCTTCACTAGAGCAGAGCGACACATGAGGGAAAACACAGTAACATTTCACGATACGATGACACCGTGAGGCGCTCTCAGCGGATCCATCCCACAGTCACTCATCGGAGGAGAAACAAATGAGAAAAACAGCAGACGTACCATGTGGTAGTTGACAATCTCCTGCAAACTCTCGCCGCACTTCTCCAGACAGTCCTGTGAAAACACAAGAACAGGTCACAGTCGTCAGAATTCAAATTGGGTCATTTTCATTATCTAGACCAAAAATGAATTATGAGGTACTGGTAATTCAATAGCATGTTTGTTCTCGTATCATCATCTATAAATATTCTGGTCCATGTAGAGTCCGTCCGACGAGGAAAACGAGCCTCGCTGAGCGTGCAACAGCTTTTGTCAAAATGGAAATGTAATTGTGGGTCTTGATGTTTTTACAGTGGAAAATGCAAATAGCAGCAGGTTTTAATAAGATGCTCAACATTAGTCAGCTGGGTACAAGGAAAGAGAAGCCAAAAGACTCTTAATAGCATTTACAGATGGCGGCAATGAGTCTAACCCAACTGGCACTAATGACAGAGAGAAAGGAGAGAGTACAGGAGCCCCGGCCTGCTTCTTTTTGACTAAATCCATGTCTAATCAGGGTCAAAGAGTGTCTGAGACACTCAAAACAGCAGCCTGACGCCCTCATGTCAGTAAGCCTGCCAGTAAAGAGCTCACAATTAAAAACAGACGCGAGTTTAGGGTTGAAAAATGACTACAATGGAGTGATTTATGGTGTACAGTTTTGCTAACAGTTCTTGAACGTCTATACTGTTTATCTACATCGCCACAGCAAAAGAATGTGATGACGAGAGAGGCTATACATTTTCTTACGGCAATCTCCTCTTTGGTTGCACGCAGTTAGGTCTGATTCATGAATGAATGACTTTTATGAGACAGTTCTTTTTAATGAATTGATCCAAAAGAAGTAGAAACTAAGTCAAACATCAGCCAAATGACTCACTCACTGAATCAGTGTTATTGTTGTGAATTTGGAAGATTTTGAATTTTTGGAATAAATGGTAGGTCTACTTAAAAAAATAAAATAAATGATAAATGTAATCAATAAGTGGTAAATAATGATAAATAAAATAATACAATTAATATAATGAAAACTAATAATAAACAAGTAAATTATATGATTATTATAATTAATAATAAATGTAAATAATATATAATAAAATAAATAAAAATATTATATAATTATAATATTAAAATGATATAATATGAATATACAATTACTCATATAAATGTAATTTTATATAATATTATATAAAATTAAAATATAATTATGATATTATATAATTAATGGAAATGAATAATAAACAATATTATACTATTATTATATTTTTATACTATTGTTATATATTTATTATATTTATAATAACTGTAAATAACTAATATATAGTAAATAATAAATACAAAATACAATTTAAAAAATACATTTAAATAAAAATAAAACAAAAGTTAAAATAATAGTAATTAATATAGAATAAATAATAAAAGAAATATAAAACAAAATAAAAATTTTAAAAGTTACAATTTTTAAAAGTATAATTTTGTATAACAGAAAAACTAGGGGTGACCCTGAATAGTTGAAGATCCGATGCTTCGATAGGGGGAGCCTGATTTGACTACCAGTCTCACAGTCGAATATTCGCAGAGGTGTTATGATCATGCCAGTTTGGCTATATGGGGGTGCTCAAATGTCTGATTTCACAAAGAACTACTGGTTTTCTCCCAATAAGTTAATATACAGCCTATTATGATAATGCTGTAAATAAGAATCTGAAAATAAAGAAGCTTTAAATAGATATTTTAACATATGTGAATAAATCCAACCACCCCTGGGTGATTCTATAATTGGAGATACATTTGGCATTGTAGAAAGTTCAGAAAAAAACTTTTTCACTAACAGATTTTTTTTTTCAGTATCTTATTGAAAACATATTTAATTTTAACAATTCAGTGCTTGCTAAACACAAGTTACTTCCTTTTTTTTTTACTTTTAATGAAAAAACAGATGTCTTTATGGTATTGTTTGTCAACTCTGTTACGGACAAATTAGCCAATGTGTAGAAATAACAATAAATCATAACAGGAAAAATCCTTCTTGTTTCATTAGACAAACAGTCCTTACATTCCATCACTTGAAACTGAGATAATATTTCACCTATGCATACCTTGAAAATTATATATAAAAAAAAAACGATGTCTTCACAGAACCGTCCATTTGGAGCAAATATTTTTCATCTGAAAATGTATTATATACAATATCCAGTTAAAAAAAAGAAAAGAAATGTTGTTGAAATATCATAAGGGTGCAAAAATAAATCAATAATATTTATTAGGATTTTAAACAACACATTTATTGTTTTTTGTGAAAATAGTTCATAAACAGAGTTTAAGTAACCCTTTAAGTAACAGAATTGTAAAGTAACAGAATTGACAATTGTCCGATGGACCGTCAATTCTGTTACCGCATTGTCAGCATTGTTACTCTACCTTGGTAACAGAGTTACAGTAACAGAACTGACAATTTTCTTTATTTTTTGCCAAAAACTCCACTTGCTAGCATAAATGCTAAGAGCACATGGCACTAATGAAATCATAATTAAAAGACTTTTAAATAACACAAAGTGTGATCAATGAAAAAAATCTGTTTTCCTTTTGATATTGTGGTAACAGATTTGACACTTTATAAAATAACTCTTGGTGTAAGAACTTTTAGATTAAAATAATTTCTTAGAGAGTGCACATAGACTTTTCAGTGCTTCAGATCTTAACAGTGAGGGAAAGTGACATCATTTCCTGTATCGTACATAGTTGTGGGAGATGAATCCACTAATTTAAAGGCAAAGTATGGTACGGTAACAGAGTTGACGCAAGATTTACGGACACCTATTTTTATAAGAATAAAGTTTATTTATTATTTTTTATAATGTTGTAGAATTAGGTAAATGACTCTTTAGGGCTTTTATAAATAAAATGAATGAAATATTACAAAAAGAAAAATACAATAAAATATTTTGATTACAAAATGATACATGATGGAAAAACTGCACTGACTAATTCGGACAACAAGTAATCATGATTTTCAGCTATTTAAGACACTTTTTGCAGAAAATATTATATTTTGTTATGGACTGTAACATCTTGTAATTCATAACAATGAGTAACACAGTATTAAAATAATAAAAAAAAATAACCATTTGAAAAAAGCAGGAAAAAAATAATGACTTCGGACACCAAATGTACCTGCAACTATAGAATCACTCACCTATAGATTTAAGTTAAGTTTCACTTTCCATAACCCGTGCCCGACAGAGGAGCATCTTGGCGGCAGGGATTTAAAACTTTAACAAGACTCAAACTGACACAGGCAGAGTGAAAGACTGGATTTTTTCGATCAGGTAGGGTACAAGTGATTTTAAAACCTTTCAGCCGGTTTATATACAGTATATGTCGTGTAGGCCTATATATTATTAATCTCGTATAAGATGCATTTGGTTGAGTTATGCTGCAGTAAAGTGCTTCATTGTAGTACTACAGTGATTAGGCTCTCTCTTCAGCGCGAGCAGGACAAACAACAACGCATAATAATGACTACGATTGGTACTGTCATGCACATAACATTATAATGAGAACACTATTATACTGTGAGTTTAGTTGCCGTGTTTCTGAACGTTGTTGCATGAAGAACGCATCCACAAAAGGAGTTAATTCAAAGCCGCGCAGACACGCTCATGTGCATTTGAGGCATTTTGTGCAGATAGCCTATAAGTCCTAATATTAACGTTATGTTGTATAAATAACGAAGCAAATTCTACATGAGATAAATGAGTTAAATCCCATTGATTAAAAACTTGCTATGCTTCATTCTACTGGTCATCTACAGCGCGCGCAGTTCAAAACAGAAATGCAGAACATTAATAACTAATTCTAAAACAGTTGTGAATTCTTAGGGTTTCGCTGACGTTTAATGTTAACTATCTTTTAATCAAAACACAAAACATTATTTACCCCGTTTATATCTGCGAGGCATCCGTTACACATTTTCCCTATGTGTTAACGTCAGTAATTATGACTGTCAAATGTATTTTTGCCCCGCCCCCAAACATATGATTCGACCATCGACAAGATTGGAAAAAATTCCGATTCGACTATGAAAATCCTTAGTCGGGGACACCCCTAATAAATACTATTGTTTATTGTGTATTTAAGTTGAGACATCTGTGAAGCTTCTAAAAGAATCATTCATGAAATTCTTAGGAACCATATTTCCTTACAATTCCCATTACGATTCTGGTGATCAGAACTGACAGACAAAGCAAAATCACACACACGCACACACACACAATAAAATATTACCGATATCATCTGGTCCTTCTTGCACTGCTGGGATAGGTCACGGATGCCATTGATGAAGAGCTTGTTGGCGGTGACATACGCTTTCCCAGCTTCAATCATACCGCCACACAGCTTCACCAGCTATTAAAGAAAACAGACAGAGAAAGAGGTTAACATAAGACACAATAAGCCATCCATGCGTAATGCGTTTTAGAGTATCAGCAGAAACTGCGCTGACAGAGCAGAATATTAATACCCTTTGACATTTTGTAGCAAAACACAATTATTTGATAAAATATTTATAATGTTGAGTGTGACGTTGCCTCATATTCTAATACATTTCCTTAATGGATTCATAAATTAGTATATATATTTTTTTTTTTACATATTTTTAAAAGTATGCTTTTGCATCCTTCTTTAGTTAAAATTTGTAATTTTTAGTTAATATTACATTACTAATATTGAAATAAGTTTAGTTAATACTATTAGAAACTAATAATTTTGTTAGTATTTTGGTTTCGTTAATGGTGGGGATTTTGATTTGTCTTGCATGCAGAAGATTAATTTACACTGTAGATGTTGACCAGTGCACTCTTAAAAATAAAGGTGCTTCACGATGCCATAGAAGAACCTTTTTGTCTAAATGGTTCCATAAAGAGCCTTTAACATCTGAAGAACCTTTCTGTTTCAAAAAAGGTTCTTTGTGGCGAAAGAAGGTTCTTCAGATTACAAAAAGGTAAGAAAGAGATGGTTCTTTAAAGAACCTTTGACTGAATGGTTCTTTGTGGAACCAAAAATGGTTCTTCTATGGCATCGCTTGAAGAACCTTTTGAAGCACCTTTATTTTTAAGAGTGTAGGTGTCTTTTTATGTGTTATCAATGAACTTGAAATGGGTCTCATTTTATTAACATTTTATTATATAGGTGGAAACAAGAAAAATGTGTTCACTTCAAGATTTGCTCAGCAACACAGACTAGTTCATTAAAAAGCATTTAAATGAATCCTTCAGTATTAAAAAAAAAACTTGTTACCGAAGCTGTAAAGTTGTCTAAAATCAGAGCCGATCCTCCCGATACGCAAAGTATGCAAGCTGCGTAGGGTCCCCGAAACACCAGGGGCCCCCTTGCTCTCAAAGAGGATTTAATTTTAGTTTAGTTTTTGAATTTGGCCAGCGGTTATGTCATTTATTTTAATGTGGTGTGCTGTCGCCCTTTCTACGTAAAAATCATTCAAATCATGTAATGTGAATGTCATACAGTGTCTTACTCGAGACAACAAAAAAACGAGTTGAAAGTGTACCGAGCCACGGAAGAGACACCGTTTCTCAAGCGGACAAAGGCAATTCATTCATTCATAACTCGTCATTCCCAGTTTTGCGGAGGGCCCCCAGAAGTCTAGGATCGGCTCTGTCTAAAATCATAACAATGAGCTTGTAGCCTTTCATTACAACAGCATTACTATAATCACACTTCTCTTACGAGTCAAAAATATCAATGCAGTGCATTTATATAAACATTAGGTTAACTGAAACCTGAAATATTTCTTTAAATCCCACAAACACACACACAACAGGTGCGGTCTCATCTGTGCAGTAATTCTCCTCACTAATGTGCCAATTACCAGTTCCCACATGTAAAGGCCAAGGCAAAAATGTCCCACTTTCGCACATGCCACACATCTCAGACTCAGCGGAGGGCTTTCACATGTGGTTGTGTGTTTGCTTTGTGCCTGATGGGACACATTCTCAGATGGGCTCCATGTGTCTGTCTCCACGTTCGAGTCCAGTTAGTTCCCTTTTGCTCTTTCTTCTGTATTTTATCTTCCTCTTTCTTACCTCAGGTGCCGTTTCGATTGCGTCCACACACACACATCCAGTTGAAAATATGAGTTTGGGAAAATCTCTTAATTTCCCAGACTCTCCTCATGAGTCAATCTAACAAACACAGAGAGCCTTGTTCTACACAGCTGCTGAACAGACCCACAGACTCCACATCTGAAGAGCCAGACGCGAGAACTAACAAGAAATTGTCATGCAAAAATAGACCGAGATGCATCATTTACTCTTTGTGAGTAAGACTCCAAATGTTAAGTTTCCTACATATGCAAAGCAAACAATAAGATTCCTTTTCAGTTTCCTTGGAGAAAAGTCGCATGAGATCAGAAGTCTGTGCTGAAGCTGTTGTTTTGCAGAGCCTGATGAAATTATCAAAAGTTGCACACTGTTGTGATTAAAATGCATGGAAGCACTAAACAACAAACAACTAAACCAAATGCATAAGAGGAGACCAATTCATTTCTCTGCATCACTGCGCCTAAAACATGCATATCACACTACACATACACATGCATACATATACATATCTGTTATTGCACTAACTAGGACTTTTCTATAGTAAAATATAAATTTAAATAAAAATAATTGAAAAAAATTAATTAATAATAATAAATATAAATTTTAAGTAATTTGTTTTCAAATCCTGATAATTTCAGGAATAAAAAATAACAATAATTACCAAAGAAGACTTTTAAAGTGACACAGGTGTAATCTGGATTGGCAGCTGTCACTCAAGGTTTTCAGGAACAGATGGAGATCGCAGGAATTAGAGAAACATATGTGCTCGTGACATCTGTCAGCAAATGAACACTTCTTTAAAGATAATTTCACCTTCATCTTCTCATGAATGGTCTTTTTTTTTTTTTAGATTTAAACTGTATAAACATAAGGGAATGTGTGTATATTTTTAGATTAACTTGTAACTCGTCACCACTTCTTGCCATCATTTTTTTGTATTAATATTAGGTCAATTTAATTAATATAAGACAAACCTTCACTCATATTAAATTAGTATAAAATAAATATAAAAAGATCACAAAAATTGAATTTTCTTTATCTAAAAATTATTATAAATAACAATACAAACACATAATTATTTCATTGGACTCCAAAATGTTAAGAGGTAAATTTTATTAATATAGGCAAATGTAATTCATGTTAAATTGGAATAAAATAAATATTTTGCATTTAGTTTTTGTTAAATTAAATTAAATTAAATTTGATTTGACTGACGTCATGTCAACTGCCCAAAGGCTAGTGTCTTGGGAGCACTAGACTAGACTCCTGTATTACACTATTAGATTTTCCTGTCGATGACGTTCAGCCATCTTTACAGCATTTAAACAGGATTACCATCGCTATACATTAATCCACAATGTTCCTCCAATCTCATATACCACAAATGTCTTTCCACACATGCCCTTTCTGCTCTCTAATGACAAACTGCCCTGCTTTCTGCTTTCTCTGCTGGATTTACACCAGCATTTGCACACACTGATGATCCGTAAAGCCTGAGCTTGACCGCTTGACCTTGTTATGGGAGCGGCTGATGTCAGTGTTTGGCTACAGAGGTCTCAGAAGGTATTAGATGTGATTTCTAACAAATCCGAGCTGTGATTTTCAAACATGTGGCCTAAATGCGCTCTGACGGGGTCAGAAGGTCAAGTGACTGCTTTAAAGCGTCTTACTGTACCTTATCAAGCTTGGCTTCGATCTCCACCACCTCCGTCTCCACCTCATCAATATTAGCCCTGGAACACAAGACAGATGATGACGTAAATTATTTCAGCTCCACATTCGCAACTTGATGAATGGCACAGAAAGGAGCAAATTAACAGCAGATTTCATAGGATCTACATTTCATACTTCATTTCGTATTGACTCGAAATAGTTTGTGAGAATAAAAATATGTTCACAATATCACACTGACATACTAATCGTACAACATTTGCAGTATTCAGAATTCATACTCGCTAAATTTTACCCAGAATACCTAGATGACAACTACATTTGCTAAAATGTATAGTATACAACAAACACACTGCATGCAAAGCTGCATCCCATAATGCAATGTAAAGTGAAAATTATATCAACCCTGACTTTTAACATTTTTTCTTGAATTTTATTTATATAAAAATAATTCTAATTATCCAAATTATATATATATATATATATATATATATATATTTGGATAATTAAATTATTTAATTTGTTTATCATAAAACTGGGATTAAAAATCCAAAATAACCATTTTCATCCCCAAGATTATAACTGGACACCACTTACTGCAACACGATGTGACACACGTAGTGAAGTCATGTGACAAAAATAAAATGATAAATAAAATACAATAAAATAAAAATTCCTAATAAAATTTATATTAGTTTGAATAAACAGGAAATAATATCAACCAAATATGGAACATAAGGCCATGTGACAAAAATAAAATTAAAATTCATAATAAAATAAAACAAAATTGGTTATGTGACAGTTAGTGAGGTCGCGACAAAAAGGTAGCATGAAATGCTTATTGTGGAATAATTCCTACAGTCTAATTTTTCTTTTTCAAAGAACATACTTTTTTGGCTAATATTACTAACAAACCCTTGCACAAGGCAAGAGGCAGATTTTCCACTTGTAAGAAATTTAGACTAAAAAAACCCAAGGCTGAAGCTGCTACTGCAGTTTTTATTAGAATAAATGTAAAGGTGAAGTATGAATTACATTTTGCATTCCTAGATGAGATAGCAACACAAACGATATGCAAAAAAACTTGGGCTTTTATCAGGATGGTAATATCTCCAAATTTCTGGCATACATTTTGACTGCACACTCAAAAGTATGTACGTTCCCACAGCCAGTAAAGTACACACTTTTTAGTGCATACTGTAGCATGAGTATGCAAATAAGACGTAGCCATTGTGTCACTTTATGGTGCTTTCATGCCGGATTTACCGTAAATATGAGCTTCTGAATAGTAAAAACCTTTCATATCTTTGTCAAATTACAATTTGCCATTTTAAGGTAGCTCCAACATGTAAAAACAACCAAAATGACAGCAGCTTCAAAAGTTAAAGTCTTTTAATCTCGTAATTATGGTCATCCTGACAAGTCCTGAACACAACTGACCAATCAGATCTGTCCTTCTCTTTTCAGAAGGGCCGAAACTACAAGTTGCCATCTCCTCCCTCTGTCCAGTCTTCCTGCGTGAGAAAGGTTTTTCCTCTGAACTGTAAGGCTGTTTTAAAGCCTCAGGCTTTATGTTAAGCCATATCACTGAGATCTGCATTATTTTTCAGACTATTATACAGTCAGTGATCTCTCTGTCTCTCGCTGTGCTCTGCGTGTGACGTGTTTGAGCGAGGCTGCGCTGATGCACGTGTTCTCCATTTAGAGCAGAAGCAATTGTGCCTCGAGTACAGAGACACACACACTTGTGTCACACGAGATGGTTATGGATGATGGACCATGTTCTAAAAATCTGTAAAATTTGTGTGTACATTTTATATATATATATATATATATATATATATATATATATATATATATATATATATATATATGTGTATGTATATATATGTG